CTCCCCCACCCACCCCAACCCCCCCAAAAGAAAAATAAAAGAACTTTTGGTCCCTCAATTATTGGTAAATTCTGAATTTGGTCCTCGTAATAGGTTTCTTAAGCACACCTAACCTTAAACTAATAAAAATGTCTTTAGTCCCTCCATATTAGAAATATGTATATTTAGATTATCTTAGAATTGCATTATGCTCAAATATGGAGAAAATAATACAAATCTAACATACAACATTGGTGATTAAACGGTTTAGCACTTTATAACTCGTTAAAATCGTAAAGATTCATAAGTAGAGGATCGAAACTCCACATATCAATAACTGAAAGGTAATTAATAAAGAAATAAGCAAGAATTTATCCATATCTGATGGACTAAAAGCGTAAGGCCCCCCACCCCGCCCTGCGCAAAAGGAAACGAGAAAAATACTAAGACTACCAAAGTGCATAGAGTAAATTTATCTTTGACAATTTCTTTCTTGGAAACGCTTATATTATGAGTGTTTCAATACTGATGCTACCTACTGTTTGTACAGGTACTAAGAAGGGAAGCAACACTAGTTTGATGTTTATTTGTCATTATATTTGGTGCAAAATGCTTGAACAACATTATGATGAGATGACAAATGAAAGATCCTTTGATTGTTCAACACATCTTAGGTTCATGTCAATCCTAAGATCATACAATTGCCAGTTGTGACATTATTTTCTATAGTACTATAGTTGACTTGTTCAATGCATCTTAGGTTTACCGCGATAAATTGTATCAAAACATCAAGCATTTACTTCTTTGGTGTAAAATATTTGCACTTTGGAAGGTGATTTCTGGAAATTTTATGTTGTTGATGAGCTATGAGTAGAAAGTTATTTGAGACAAGTTCAACACATTCTTATTTTTTTAATGTGTGATACTATCTGTTGTTTCATTTGTTTTATATCTTGAGATTTAACTATCGTATTTTCCTTGCTTCCAAAACTTCTCTTTTGAGCCGAAGGTCTATCGGAAACTACTTCTTTACCCTACAATGGTAGAGTTAAGGTTTGCATACTCTCTTCAAACTCCATTTGTGGGACTACATTGAATGTGTTGTAGAAAATGCGAAGAATTCTTAGTATGAGATATATGTACTCCTTTTATGTTTAGATCAAACAATTACACCTCCCATATGATGGAAATTCTATATATATATATATATATATATATTGTTACCAAAACCGAACATTATACTACTGGAAATATTAGGGACTATCTATCGAAAATCTATAAGAAATGTACTTTTGCAAATGTTTCCGATAAACTTCTTCATCGGAAATTGACTGATTTCTAGTAGTGAATTAGACCCCTTATGAAAATATAATATTATAATCTTTTTAGCGACAAACAAAAGTTGTTACAATAATTGATATATCTAATTAAGTGATTTGTGATTATTTCTAGTGTAAGGGTTTTGAAAGATACATATTTCAGAAAAAAATGTGCGGATACAAATTAAGTTGTTACTAATAATTGGTATATTTAATAAAGTGATTTAATCTATTTTACTACTAATAAACTTAGTTACATATGCCTTATAGTTTCGAACCTAAACACTTAACACCATTGTAATCTAGATATCAATGGTTGCAATAGAATGAATATGATATCTCCATCCTTAATCAGATTTAAAGGTCTAAAGTTCGAGTTGTGGAAATGGAATATTTTTTAGCAGGAGCTCTTTAAATAGGTACATGTGGCGCAAAATTACAATTTTCATTAAAAGGGTTTAAAAGATGAAGAAGTTAAGAGGACTCAACATCTACTACATTTATACATAAAAAAAATAACTTCATACTTGTATATACAATGTAGTTTCTTGCTGAATAAGATTTAATTATACCTCCTTGCACCATATCGCTCCGCCTCTGATCCTAATATAATATCAAACGTCAAATAAAAAAAAGGTATTGTAATGACAATGACATAGGACATATAGAAAGATGAATTGGATGAGGATTATAAGGAGCAAGTTCCAAGTTCCACACCAACCAGAAGACAGCAACTTTACAAGTTAAAAGGGAACACTGGTTTGTTCATAGTATTAAATTTGTTGTTTTGGCACTTATACTACTATACTTTTGTCACAATAATCGAGGATATTTTGAATTTAAGCATTCAATTTCAATTGGATTAATTGGAAAAGAAAAAAAAAGGTAGTAACTGCAATATTTTACTTTGACTTCTTTTATTTCTCTTTTCCACGTATTTATCAAAAATAACTTCAACATCTATATTATGAAATTATACTGGATATAATATTAGTGTTATACTCATTGTATGCATGACAATCATATTTCTATCTTATTGGAGAGGTTAGGCTATTCATACCTCTCGCTGTGTTATTATTAATATACGTGATAAGGATCATGCCTAAACGTTCACCATAGAGGTGACTTTTAACAACAAAAGGTGAAACTCTATTATATCCTCTTAAAATCGATTAAAATTATTGAATTATGTCAAACCGTACGTCCCTCCTGCTAATTTGGTTACATGAATATAATGGAGGATTGAATTGGCAGTAACATTCAGTTTCAATTGGATTGGGAACTAGCTAGTACTACGATTACTATACATAAAAGGCCAAATTCAATATCATCAATTGCATTGAGAAAGAAAAAAGTTACTTACTCTTGTCTGTATCACGTGGCATATTTAAGACTATAAGTTGAAAAGTTATTTTGATACATTAGACATATTTTAAATTTAAGACAATAAATTTAAAAATTTATTTACTTTTTTAAGTTCGATATCAAAATAAAACAATTAAATTGAAACGAAGAGCATAATACAAAGTAAAATTAGTCAATTTGTTATTGCATGGTGTGCCGGTCAATGCTGCACATAATTGCCCAACTGATGAACTCTATTTTCTTACCAACGTATTACCTCTTCTCGTTCACCACGCCCTCTTGCCACGCGGCTACAATCTTTTTTTCTACTTTCTTTTCGATCGTTGTTTGATACGAGAGATAAGAGATAATAATTTTATGTTATTTTTGATATTTCCTTTGTTCCTATGCGTAAAATCTAAAATGATGACATATAAATAAGAAATAAGGGAATATTATTTATCACACTATTTGTACTGATGATAAGTTATTAATTTCATATATACCGTGGGATAAGTAATTCTATAATACTTTTGTTTACATTATATATATTAAAAACAAATGTTTTATTATTTGTCAAATTTAGAATGGAAATTCAAGAGAGCTTAGTATTAAATAACAACATAATAGTAGTCAGAATTAGAGTTCCAACAACACATAAAAGTTCTCTTAAGAAGTGTATTAGGTCGATATGAGTCAATTAATATAAAATAAAAAGAGTATATTTTTCAATTCGTAAAATAACTTTATCTATCTCATCCTAAATACCAAACAATCCCTAATTGTAACTCCTATATAAATGACCATATCTTTGCTTATTCACTTTCCAACATACATACACTAGCATTCTTCTCTTATTTTCTTAGTGAAGAAAGCAATGGATCTTGGAGGAGGCAATGGTAGTGGAGGTTTTCATGGCTACCGTAGGTTCCCACAAACAACTTCCGTGGGTAAGTGTGATCATTTCGTTTAAAAGTATTACGGTATGTTTTTTCATGATATTTGATATGTATCGTTATTTTATCTAAAAGCTTATTTTGTTACCTAGAGTATTTTTTTCTTTTTAATTATGTCTAGCACATACACTTCTTATGTTGAATCCTAATCAATTTGACTATTCTAATATCATGTTAAAGTATGCAAATATCTCACATAAAAAATTCGAAGGAACACACTTTTAGCTTTCTTAATAATTATGCCTCATACATTTGAAAAGAAAAAAAAACCCTCCTATGTACTCATTGGTAAATATTACTTATTTATCCTCATGTTTAGTCGTGGAACCACATGTATTTAAGGGTATCTTCATCGAGAAATTATATTATAGAAAATTAAAAAGAAATGTGTATATATATATATATATATTGACTTTTTTATTTTCGTGATTTTACTCTTTTATATTGTGATACCCCTTATTAAAAAAATTTGCTTTGCCATTGCTCATGTTCATCAACATTTTGTCATTCTTTTCTCAATTCTAGTGAGATAAAAAATGTCTGCATTCTATAATACCTACATTAATGGTGGTCTAGCAATTTTTTTTTTATATATATATATATATTTTTTTTTTTTTTTTTTTTCTTTGCTTGAAATGTGAAGAAAAAGATAACATAAAAAACAAGTGAATATATGCATGTAAATTCCTGACCCCCAACTGTATACATATTTGTTCTCTACCCTATGTTTACATATGGCACTCTATCATGCTTCTCTTAATTATATATTTATTATATTATAAGTGTGAGAAAAAGAAAAAGAAAGAAAATGCTCCACATCACAATTGTTTTTTAATGTTTTGGTGGATAAATAGAAAAAAATATTAGGGTGTAGGTGGGGGAAATTGGATAGGAGACAATGTCATGAAATATTACTTATGAAATTTCTTTTGTACAAGCTCACTAGAAAAGTTCATTTTTCTAATTTTCAAGAAATTAAAAAGTTTTAGATAAAAAAGATTTTGAAATATTTTGACCAATTAAACATGAAAAAAAGAAAAAATATGAAGATAAAAAAAGGTATAAGCTTTAAACATTTGTCATATAATTTTTTTCTACTATTGTAATTTAACCTATTGGATTATATCTCTTATTCTATTTTCTAGATTATCGTATTTGTTATAAACAATTACTCTCTATTATTGTGTGTAACTTATATTCTAAAAAATAATGAATCAACACAATTTGTAAGTGGATTGATATTCCTTCAAAAAAAAAAAAGAACAAGGAGAGTAGAAAATATCTTTCAACCAAAAGCTATCGTGAGATGAGTAAGATTTTTTATTTGATAATCTCGAGTTTAAACCTTTTTTTTAAAAAAATTTCTCAATAAGTACCTTTTATGAGTATAAGAGTTTTCATGTGAATATCGAATACCGAGTAAAAAGTGGGAAAAGTTAATTTTGAAACCACTAACATATGAAACGTTTTTTTGTTTTTTGGGTCAATATTCACTCTATGATTTTGTCTTGTGGCTTTTTAAAAAAATTGGAGTTTTTATTGTCTAGGGCTTTCTTCTGGTCTCTTGTGAGTTGCTGTCTTTATGTGTGCACTATAACATTTAACCTAGAATCTTATTTGGTGGTTACTTCCTGAGTGTACTTTTTTTTATAAAAAAAAAAGTTTGATACACAAAATATGTATCTCGTGTTATATAGGATTTAGACAAAGATCAGATCTTAAAGGGTGTGATATAGAAAATCTGTTTTAATATAAGGATTAGTAATTGCTTTTACAAACACACACACACATATATATATATAGAGAGAGAGATATCACAAGGAGATAACTTTACGATTGCTCCTACACCTTCCCTTCAAACTTCCAAGTGTACTACTAATTAACCAATTAATACACTTTATTAGCATTAGTTGGAATTAATTAGTTATATACTTCCATAGGTCTATATATTATTTGGTGTTTCTTACTCTTTTTTTTTTTGGGTTCAAATTAAGCAATATTTTACATAATTGAGAAGGTATTAATTATATTAGTTTTATTTCCTATAAATATATATATATATATAATAGGTATTTTCACTATTTCTTTAACGGTATTTGATATGCACATCAAATCTCTCTACTCTTTATACTTATATCATCTTAGAAAGATGTAAATTTAATTATGAGTAGTTAATCAAAATTCTTTTTAGTTGTTAGGAGTAAGTAATTTATTAAAAGGTGTGTCAAAGGTAAAAACATCAAATAATATGAATCGGAGGATGTATATATACACCAAAAATATACAATGAAGTGTACCTTGTAAAAAATAACAAATTAATATTATGAGTTTAAATTATATACGATATTGTTGTATTACACCCCTTAGATGACATGTTTACTTTATTAGAGATGAATATTGCATAGTATAGCTAATTATTCTTAAATTATTTACTTCACTTGAATGCTTAGTCTTATGTCAGAATTGTCTAATTATGTTTTCATTTCTTCTAGATGGCATTGCCACACTCAACCAAGCCATTCCCACAACCAACCACCACAACAACAATAACAACGCCTCAGTCCCAGATGATTCTGAATGCACCGTTCGTGAGCAAGACCGTTTCATGCCAATAGCAAACGTGATTCGAATCATGCGAAAAACCCTACCTCCACATGCCAAGATATCGGATGACGCGAAAGAGACCATCCAGGAATGCGTGTCCGAGTTCATTAGCTTTGTCACCGGGGAAGCCAACGACCGTTGCCAGCGCGAGCAACGCAAGACTATCACGGCCGAGGACGTGCTCTGGGCCATGAGCAAGCTAGGGTTCGATGACTACATCGAACCCCTCACTATGCACCTGCACCGCTATCGCGAGTGCGATGGCGGTGAGCGCGGCTCCCTCAGGGGAGAGCCACTCATGCTAATGAAGTCGCGGGGTGTTATGGTTGACCCCACGGCTTCAACTAGCATTGCTAACATGACACATATTAATTATCCCTTGCCACCTAATTTCACAATGGCTCATCATCATCATGGCTACTTTGCTTATGCACACATGAGTAATGACAATGCTGCTCCAAATTCTAAGGCTAACCATGATGAGACAAATAATAATGTTGAATCATTTGGAGAGCATAAGGAGTAAAATTTAAGAGTACTAGAAAACAAATAATAATAATCTTGTACTAGTATCTAATTTATGTTTTTATTTTATCTTTGTATGAACTATTGTACTATTTGAAATTGCTCTTTTTTCTATTTTGAGGTGATTTCCAATATATTCTGTTTATTTTTTAGTCAGAAGTATAGTTATGATGTCTTTCATACCAACAAATTAATACAAAAATGTATTTTTCAAAACAAAAAAAAGAGAGGCTCTTTTTAGGTGTTTGGTTGCCGAAATATTTTCAAATAAAAACAGTTTTCTCAACCAAAAAAAAAAGAACGATATCTTCTCTGATCTTCCGATCTAATGCAATGTCTATTTTATTCTTGACATTTTAGTTTCCCTCTATTTATATACTAATATGTTTTGTTACAAAACTTGTTGCTACTTTTTAATGATTGTTATTTTCATATATGTGCATTAAGTATCTCTATTTTGAATACATATAATTCAGTTTTAATTATAATTAGTGAGATATTTTTCAAAAATTCATACTATATATATAGTTAAATTTGGTCAAATAGAAAAAGAAAAAAGTGTGTTGTAATGACTAGGGTCCAAAAAGTATTCACACCTAACGTGGAAATGTTGTCAATATTATATTGTTCAAACTAAACGGATAACATGATTTTAAATAATATAAAGAGTATGAAAAGGAGAAAAATAAAATAAAATAAAAAAATTCAGAAAATTGGTTTTACTTTATAAAACATGAGTTCACATTTAGTGTATATTTAAATTAATATTAGATTCTAGTGAACCAACTATTCAAAAACCACCTTCACATTATATTAACAAATTTTAAGCTATGGCAAAATGAATAAAATGACTTTATTTTTAATTAGATATTTCAAATTCATTTTGAATATAAAATTATTAGTTTTTAGGAAGCTTTTAGACGTCTTAGGCAACACAAACATGAATTAGTTGACGCCTCAATGCAGTAATTCTTCTTTAAATTGGCTTTATCTTGCATGAATTTAAATTATTTGATACCATTTCTCCTTTAAATTAATTTTACATGACGTAAATCTGAATTAATTGAGACCTCAATACAATGATCTTTTCCTTAGATTTTATGCGATTCAAATTTGAAATAATTAGAGATTCTAAAACACATACTAAACACTGAGTGGGAGAGTAAAATTAAAAACGAAGTATACACGTTTTGCAGACGGAACTATGATGTATATAAATATAAAATACTTACCTATTATATACATGTAAATTGTAAAGACACCACACAATCCACTCATTTTGCAACTGTACTTTGTTGGCCTTTTGGAAAAAACCTAAGCAGAGATCAGAGCAAGAAAATCTTTTGCATTTTTGGGAATTTAACACATTTGGGCCTGATTCAAGTGAGTTAAAAATGTGTTCTTTATCGTTTTCCTTTTTCTTTTCAAGATTTCTGGTAATATTTGGGGTATTCTTGATTTGATTTAAAATATGTTTTTGTTCCCTCTTTTCTGATGTTTTAGTGATTTTTGGATATTTTAGTCATCTGGGGTTGCTTCATTTGCATTAAAGATTCAATTTTTATTCTGTTTTGCTGTTTTTTGAAGGTTTCTACTTACTATTTTAGTTAGACACTGCTAGTGAATTTCTCTTTATTTGAGCTGAATTGTAAGGTATTATGTAATATGTTGTTGTAGCTGTCTGAGTTTTAGCAACGTTTGACTTGACACGAAGTTTAAGAAAGAAATGAATACTTCTAAAATTTGTGAGCTACAACACTTGTTTAGAGGTAAGTTGTTTTTAATTATAGAAATGTGACATTCTTTTTTGGGACGAACTAAAAGGGAACGGGTATCACATAATTTTGTAGAGAGGGCTTATTTAGTAGGATATTGCTATTGAAGTTGTGTGTTTGACTGAAGTTATTCTTGTGATACCAATGGGTAAGCAATTGAGTGGGATGCTACTTTACCAATCAATTTCTTATGTTTTGTCATCTCAATTTTGCTGTTTATTATTGATACTGCCTAATTTACTTATCTTGAAATGTGTGAAAATGCATATATATAAGTTAGAGGTAGTCCCATGGACTTCTTAAGAATATGGTCGAATACTGTCATGTAGTTTTATAAGCAAAAGTGCCACCTACGGACTCTTCAAAAATAATGTCGTGTGTGTGGCCTTTTTGGAGGATCCAACAGGTGTACGACAACATTTCTGGATGGTCTAAGCAGCATAGATTATAACAGAATGTGTCCTCCTTCTCCATCTTTAAGTCAAGTGCTTGTTTCTTTTCTATATCCTTGAATATGTTTTGAGTTCTGTTTTTTAATAAGGTAAGTCCTTGTGAGATGCAGTTTTGGTACTGTTTTCGGAGTTTGTGACATTGCAGTAGTGGATTATGGGAGACAAATTAGGACAGATAAAAGTGACTGTTATAAAAGGAAGACGTTTGGTGATTCGGGACTTCAAGACAAGTGATCCTTATGTCATTCTTAAGCTTGGAAATCAGGTAGCTTTATGTTTCTTCCTTAAGATATTATCTGTCATCTCGTGTGACTCTGATCTTCTTTATTCTTCTAAAGTTGAGAGCTTTTACAAGTATGGTTTCAAATGCATACTCTGAATCCTAGTTAACAATAGTGATAATGAAATGTGATTGTCAAATCAAATTTAATTCTTTGGAATCTGTTGAGGTCACAAATATCGGAAACAAGATCTCTACCTTCACCAAGTAGGGGTAAGGCTGCGTCCACTCCACTTGTGGGATTACACTGGGTATGTCGTTGTTGTTGTTGAGATCACAGATAAATTGATCTATTCTAGCTAGTTGTTTGCCTGTGTCAGGGGTGGAGCTGGAAATAGGGCATCTCTCTTTCGTTTACAACAGTGTATTTGAAATTATTAGTAAAATTGCTCGGAAAAGATTATAGTTATACTAATAGCATCTTTTATGTTGTATGTCACTTCTGATGTTTTCTTGCGATTTGTGGTTCTACCCTTTCACTTTGCATGAGAGTTTTGAAATTGCTTTTCTGGAGCTGACATCTTGATATTACATTTTACTGTTATACCAGACTGCCAAAACCAAAGTCATAAATAGCTGCCTTAATCCTGTTTGGAATGAAGAATTCTGCTTCTCTATCTCTGAGCCGGCTGAGGTTCTCAAATTGGTATTTGCCTTTACCTCTAAACTTTTGTTTCATCATCTCTCATGTTCCTCCTCTACATTACAATTTTAATGACTCGACTTTTGTTAGATGACGTGACATTATTTTGGACTTTTGCTGGTGTTGTTCCTCTGTGTAATTGTTACGCTGCATGTTTTTGATATGTTTCAACTTGAAGATCAAATAAAAGGTGCTCTGAAGTTCTTGCACCCTTGCTTGTCAAACAGTTATATATCCCGTATCTGAACGAGTGCATTGGACAAAACAGGAAAATAGATAGTGAAATAGTTTATTAGGGAAAAAAAAGATATCCCGGTGGACTAAGCTCCACCACAAGGGTCCATTGTAACCAGCCTTACCTTGCATTTCTGCAAGAGGTTGTTTCCACGGCTCAAACCCGTGACTTGAAATAGTTTATCAGGAAGGAGAAATGATGAAACTTTCACCTAAGGAAACAGAAATCTTTAGTGGTATGAGTGTATGTAGACTCAAGTATCGAAGAAAAGAAATTATGAAGCTTCTGAAGAGAATACTTTTACCCCATCCGTGTCTTGTGGGAAACAACCATAAGTTAAAAATTTAAAGTCAAACATCTAGGAAGAAAATCAGAATGTCGTCAACGTCCAACTCTTTAATCTTATGCAATCGACATAGAGAAAAAGAAAAGAAAAAGAGGAACAATCTGATGACGATATATATATTGTATTACATATTGAAAGGAGTAATATTTAAGGCTATTTAAAGTTGCCAATTTTGCTGAAATGAAGCTAAATAGTAGTTTTCTAGAGTACATTTATTTTGAATAATTTCTGTGAAATTCATTCCATGTCATTGATACACAATTATAACAGGAAGTGTTTGATAAAGACCATTTCAAAGCAGACGACAAAATGGGAACTGCTCATCTCAGTCTTCAGCCTTTGGTTGCAGCTGCTAGATTGAGAACGATTCTCGGGGTTGCTTCTGAGGGGACAACATTAAGGAAGGTTATCCCGAGTAAAGACAACTGCCTAGCAATCGATAGCAGCATTAGTTGGGTGAATGGTGAAGTTGTGCAAGATGTTTGGTTAAGGCTTTGTGATGTGGAGTCTGGAGACATAGAGTTGAAGATCAAATTGAGCGATCTTTCCTGCGTTGTTCCGGCCTCCACGTAGAATGGTTATCAGTGACATCGATGCAGGTCTCGTTTGAGCTATATACGTCTTGTTGTAGGCGGAAAAAGACGTCTAGTAGAAGAAGCGCCTATGTTTGGCATTTTTCGGTTGGAACTCAAACAAATGATATTTGTATATTTTGATCAAATATGTGCATAATTCAAATTGGAGTGATTTAAGAAGTGGAAGGGGGATTTTTGTAGTATTTGTTTTTATTAGTTTAATATCCGACACACATCTTCATTTCCCTTTTTTTTTTTTTTTAACTTTCACCTTTTTTTGTTCCATTTGGTGACTCGAACTAACAACCTTCAGATTGAAGTGTATACTGTAGAGTGCTTACAATTTGAGCAACCCCTCTTCTCGACATCTTCATTTTTCCACTTCCCTTCACACTCATCTAAATTTTTCATGTGTTCATGTTAAGTTTTATCAACATGCAAATTGCAAAACCTGCCACCAAATATATATAGTTCATTTAAAAGTTGTTTAGGGGTAAATAAACACCTGTGTATTTAAAGTGTTAAAGTAAATTTTATTGTCAAGTAAAAGGCTGATTTGATGAATTTTTTCATATATTTATGAGTAAATGTGACAAAATTAGCTTATAAAATCATAACTGCTTCAAGTTTGAGTTAATTATTGACCCACATTTTTATGAAATACTTTTATGTAGAATATCATCCCATAAACTTTATTTACCATCTATTTAGCCTTATACAATTTTTTTTAAAAAAAAGATTGTTTAGTCATGTTATTTATAAAATAAAATGTCAGATGCCGCCTTTCTCTTCTTCTTCGTCCTCCCTCCTCCTCCTTCTTGCTCCCTTCTTTTTCTTTGTTGTTTTCCTTTTTCTTTAAAATTCAACATACTGTATTGCAAACGAATCGTTTCGAACAAATTATATAAATATTTGAAATATCCAGAGTATTTCACATTTTAAATTTAGGAATGTTTTAGAGGATTTTTTGAATTGGTAAGGATTAGTATATTTCACGTATAATTCAACTTATATTCAACTTTTTGAGTTTATCATAATATATAGTCAGTACAAGTAAACTATATTTTTTGAATCACAATGTATATTCAATATTTTTTTAATGTATCATAATGTATTTTCAATGTATAGTCCAGATATATTTTCAATGATTTTGAGAAACCATTGGCCACAGACAATCGGACCGAGTCGGGTCATAATGTACTTGATCGTATAAGTTAACTTATATTCAGTCTTTTAAGTGTATCATACTGTATTGTCAATATAATGTATAGCTCATGAATAAATAAACTATATTTTTTGAATCTATAAAAATGTATAAACTATATTTGCTGAATATATCATAATGTATAATTTAGCGTATAATATACGTATATTTTCATGATTTTGAGATGTAAATCATTGGGCAAGACAATCGGACTGAGTCGGGTCGAATTTGCCGCCATCTTCTCTAGGGCCCAAAGCATTTCGAATCTCTTCCTACGCCAATGGCGACGGTGACGAAACTGAATCTGAAGGCGGAGACCGGCGACTGTCACCGCCTTGAGGCGGAGCAGAGTGAAGCTCCGGCGGAAATAAGCGATTCTAGAACAAAAAGAGTAGTTGAATTAGGAAATGGATGCGAAGTAATATACATGCCTAGGTTCCTAAATTACGATCAGTCATGGGATTATTTAGAATACCTTAACAGAAATATACCATGGAATCGTCCAACGATTCGCGTCTTCGGTCGATCTTGTGTCCAGGTACTCATTTTTCTTCTGCCTTTCTCCTTCAATTTTACTCTGTTTGTATTTCTGTATGTGAATTGTTTAGGGTAAACTGTAATGTTTTAAGAGGCAAAATGGAGACTAAAGTCTCATGCTTTATGATTTAGTAGTGCTGAGGAGAGGTAGAGGTAGGTCGAAAATATATTGGGGAGAGGTGATTAGATAGGAGATGAAACACGTGCAATTAATTTATCAAGGACATGACGCGAGATAGTAGGTTATGTAAGTCAAAGATTAGGGCAGAAGCTTAGTAGATAGATTTCTTCCATGGAGCTAGGAGGCCCAAGGTGTGAAAGGTTGACTGTAGTATTGCTAAGGGAAGGTAGAGGTGGGTTGAAAAAGTATAGAAGAGAGGTGATTATATAGGACATAGCACATGTGCAACTTACCGAGTACATGACGCTAGATAGGAGGTTTATGGAGGTCAAGGATTGGAGTAGATTAGTCGAGCGTAGTCTAGGTATTGTTATTATTACTTTCTTATTATCTTACTCTTCGATTCTAGTATTATTTGTTGTTTCCTTTGCTTTGGTTATCATATTTGTTGCTATTGCTCTTTTCTTCATTATTTGCATACCTGATTAAATATGCTTTACTTGAGCTGAGGGTCTATTGAAAATAAGTTCTCTACCTCACAAGGCAGGGGTAAAACCGCGCACACTCTACTTTCTCTGGACTCTACTTGTGGGATTACATTGGGTATGTTGTTGTTGTAAATAGTAGGTCTTAACTTCTTCGTGTGTTTACTTATTTATGTTTTGAATCCTCTTAGTGGAAATCCTAGCTCCGCTATATTGCATACTTTTAAGTTATAGATAGGCTGCTTTGTATTTCCTTGTCTGACTATAATCGTACAGCTTTGATGTAGTTTTATGTGACATACTGTTTTTTATTTTTTTGAGGGGCTAGTCCCATGATAAGTAAAATGTTTCCACTTTGATCTTTTAGAACAGGGGGTGAATCTTAGGCAAGTTGACAAGTGCATGTGGTTCAATCTGTTCTCCAGATGTGATCCCTACACTGTTATGCTGACTGCTATGCGTATTGTAGGATTTCATGGATAATTACGTTAGAAAATCAACTATGTTGCATATGGGTTGAGGATTTGATTGAGATTGATAGTTTTCAAATTCCACTGTGCAAATATAGGTGATAGATTGATATAGTTTAGTTGAAATTCACGAACTACCATTACATAGATCTCCAATGCCACCCGAACGAGAGGGTTTGGAATGGAACAAGGGTGATAATTCAAACATATAGTTACTAGAAAGAGCAACAGAAGAATTTACTAATCATTCGCTCCCATGTAGCTTATTCTCCCAAGAAATTTGTTGGGGTTGTGGTTGTGGCAAAACCATAGTAAGTTCGTTATAAAGAAAAGGTTTTTTTCCCTTGGAGTTGGAATTAATGCTTTTTTCTCTTCCAAACTTAGAAGCTTCGACTGGGTGGAAAGCAACACACACAACCATAAAGTTTGAACGCTAAAGCTGGATGCTATTTTTATTCTCTTATATTGGATCGCTTCTGCACAGACTTTTTTTGAGTAATGAGAAAGCCCATGGACAAAGATGGTGTTCAAAGTCTGAGTCTGTATTGTGGGCAGTTTTGTTTGTCTGCCCATGACTGACTATTCAAATTCAAAATGTTGTTGTGTTCTCATGACGGACCGTTCACAGTGAAAGTGATAATATTGTTCCTTTACTCCCCTTTGGTGTGTTATATCTTAGCTTTGTTTGTCTGGCGCATGAATGATCATCCAAGTTGAAAATGTTGTTGCTTTACGCTCTCTCTCTTAGTGTGTTAGTTTCCCCCTTGCTAATATGAATGCTAAATGTTACATGTCATAACAATCTGATACCACATGTTCCTATGAGGAAAAACAGATTAACAATGTTTGTAATATTTCCACAGCCCAGAGACAGTTGTTATGTGGCAAGTGAAGGATTGCCACAACTAGTTTACAGTGGATACCAGCCTCATGCATATTCTTGGGATGAATTTCCTCCACTTAAGGATATTCTGGATGCTGTAAGCTTGCTCATCTTCAACCTCTCAAGTTGTAGTTCCCAGTGATCAAGCTAGTTGTCTTTCTTATACCATCAGTGTTGCACTTTAGGTCCATAAAGCTCTTCCAGGAAGTCGTTTCAACAGCTTATTACTTAATAGGTATAAGGGAGGCGATGACTATGTAGGTTGGCATGCTGATGATGAGAAACTTTATGGACCAACTCCAGAAATTGCTTCTCTTTCTTTTGGATGTGAACGTGAATTCTTGTTGAAAAAGAAACCAGATAAAACATCCCGAGGTACATGTTAATATTGATTTTGTATTATCTTTTTATTTGTCAAATGAGGTGTGAGTATAGCAGACCTTCCGTTCAGTTACATAATGAGGTTAGATTTCTCAGTTGATCACTCAACTAATAGTTATGAGACACCTTTTTTCTTGTTTCAACAGAAAATGTGACTTTTGGAGATAATAACTAACTATTGGTTGAGCGACTATCTAAGAAATCAACTCTTACATTTTGCAAACGACAATACTGATTCCATGAAAGTCGTATTTATCACTTCCTCTTCTGTTTGTTATTCATTACACAAGGTAAAAACACCAGTGGTGAACCTCCCAGAAAGCGATTGAAGAAGGATGCCTTTCCAGACAAACACTCGTTTGTCCTAAAACACGGTTCATTGCTGGTAATGAGAGGTTATACTCAACGGGATTGGCTTCATTCAGTGCCTAAACGCGTAAAGGCAGATTCATTACGCATTAATCTCACCTTCAGGCTTGTTCTTTGAACAATCAATGCATTTCTTCATTGTTTATACCTGGGGGTTGGAAATTTTATGCAGTGCACTTAGCAACAAAAGGAAGGCGATTTTGTGCCTGTGGTTGATGAAAATTACTAGTACTAGATATTGGTTTTTTCTTTTACTTATGAGGAATGCGTTTGATGCAGCAAATTTACTCATTAGCTGATTTCTATGTTTCTATGCTATGAACTATGAAGGTACGTTTCAGGTATAGGGAATATCCTAATGTCAGATTCCAAATCTGAAAATTAATGCATAAAGATTGAACCTTTATTTAAAGCATTAATATACAAGAAACCCAATAAGCAAAATGTATCAAAAACCTCTACAAATATTATAGACTAAAAACAAACAAAATATGTAATTATAAGCTCGAAACAAGAGGCACAATCAAGAGACCAGTTAAGACACAAGAAGAGACGGCTTTAGCTGCATCGGCTTTAGATAACATTTCAACAAGAGCGTAACTTCTTCTCTTCTTATTCTTAGAACTCGAACCCATGATTACATGTTCAACCTCACCAAAATTACTAAACAACTCTCTCAATCTTTGGCAAGTATAATCTTCACCACTTTTACTCCAAGATACCTTAAGCACCTTTTCCTTGTCAACACACATCTCTGATGATTCTTTCTTTGACAGCAATATTTCACGAATCCTAGCAATTTCACCTAAAAGTTTTATAGCAATTCGTTCCTCCTCTTCTAATCGAGCCAAATTAATATCAGGTACAAAAGACATCATCTTTCTACGCTTTGAATCTTCTTCTTCTTGTTGTTGTCGTTGTTGTTGTTGTTGTAATTGGATCATCTCATCAAATAACTTCCTCTTTTTGTCATCCTTGAGAATGTCATAGGAAGCCTTGAGCTTTTGAAAATTTAAGTGAGCGTTAATTGGATCATCGAGTCTCTTGTCTGGATGCAATTCTAATGCTTTCTTTCGATACGCTTTCGATATTTCGATTTCAGAAAGCTTTGCCCCTTCCTCACCGGAGGGTAAATCCAAAGCACTATAATGATCAACTTCAATATCCATGGTAGAACCCTAATTTCTAAATATTAATTAGGAGGATTCAATAAACAGACTTGTTCTATTTATAGGTTTCGAATTATTTTTTCTTAATCCTACAATGACTCCAACTACCTTGTTATTTCGATTCCTAATAAGTTAGGAATTCTATACTACTTCATCCGTCTACTTTTAATTGTCATAGTTTCCTAATATTTTATGATGTATTTTTTCATTATATTGGTATGCAAAATATAGTACTTTTCGTATAATTTTTTAATAGCTAAATTTTTTGTTTAAAATATTGAATTAATGTAATCTAATTTAACTTCGAAAATTATTCAAATTGACTTTTGAAAAGCGCAACATGACTAATAAAAGTAGACGGAGGGAATAGTGGTTTTTAGTTTGAATTTTTTTAAAATCAAATATTTTTATATTAGTAATTATAAATTGAGAAGTTACCTACGGTTAATATAACTTTTATTTTTCAATTTCAATTTTATTTTTTTACAAAATAAGCAAAAACGTGTAGTTACTTTTGGAATCAACTTCCCTGAAATGGTAACAATCATGGTTTACATATTTTATTCTACACAATTATTTATTTAGAAGAAAAAAAAAGCAGAAACGTGCAGTTATAAATTATGGAATCAAGTTGCCGTAGAATCAGCAAAAAAATATTGTCTACATATTTTCTTCTATATTACTGTATTTGAAAAAAAAAAAAGTATAAAAAAAACTCTCTCCAATCTTCTATACAACTCACTTTTTATTTTTCAATTTGAAAATTGCACAATTTAAATCCCTTTTTTTTTTTAAAAATTTCTCCCTAAGTAAACTACACATGTTCGAGCGGAGAAAAATAAATAATCAAGGCAAAAAAATTGGAGTTACAAAATATAATATTTTATTTTCTATGAATCCTCAGATTCTTCTTTTGCGAATATAAATTCAAGGGTCTTTGAGCCTGATCTTGAATCTGACGGATTTGGTCTCGACTTGTACTTGAATTCAAGGGTTTTTAAGCTTGTTTTTGAATTTGGTGGTCATGATCTTAAGTTGTGAATTTGATCTTGACTTGTGCTTGATTTCAAGGGCCTTTGAACTTGTTCTTGAATCTGGTGGTCATGATCTTGAGTTGTATCTTAAACTCAAGTGCTTGAACGCTTGAACTCGTAGCCTATTGAAAAATCTATGTTTGATCCACGAGTTCAGGCTTCTTGTTCTTGAACAACTCATCCTTTGAGAATAATGAGGACCCCTATTTTGTGGTGTACCCATGAGATTTGATTGGTCGATTAATCGATTTGAACTGATCATGTACATATGACATTGTTGGAATGTATGCGTCCACCTATGTAGATAGGACCAGGTCCTCAACACGGTAATAATAAACAGTAAAGTACGAATGCTGAAAGTAAAGATTGACAATCAACTTTACATGGAAACCTCCTTGCTCAAGGGAGTAAAACCATGACCTGGCCTTTCAGGACTCTTCAAACTGCTTTCACTAATCTTCTCAAGCAAAAGTAAAACTACGTTTACAAACTGAGATTAGCCTACTTTCTTCTAATTCTTCCTCAAAGATGCTAAGCTTTCTCTTTCCACTCTCTGAAGTACCAGAATCCTCCTTAGGAGTGATACAACCAGTTTCTAGAGTACCTATCCTTAAGCTCATTTCAGAAAATTGAGACATGAGAGCTGAATTCTCATCCTCACACAAACTAAAATTTTCATTCAACATTAAGTTTTCAGTGGTCCGTTTATCAACGGAATCAATAAGCAGGGCAGCAAGTTTCCTCAATTTTTTAATAGGAAAATCTTCTAGATTATCCGATTTTCTTGATTATCCTTAAGATCAAAAGGGTTACCTCATATAGATCTTCTTCATCATCAGATTTAGCCATCAAAGAGAAGATGGAGTTGAAAATACTTTCATCATCTTCAATGGCCATCATTGAAACATCCTCATGGCTCTCTGCATCTTCTTCTGACTCACTTGAATCATCGCCTCATACGACAAATGTTTTTCTCACCAACTGATCAACATGCGCCTTTCTCTGAGCGTTGTCTGGGACCAGGTCCCTCTTGCGCGGTCTGATGTCATTAGTTTCCTGCTTTTGACTGGGGCAGTCCCTCATAAAGTGACCAGGCTTGCCACATTTATGGCACAGATCATTTGTAGTAGCAGTTTTACTGGTATAGGCTTTCTTTTGAAAACCCACATGCTTCTTTATGATCTTTTGAAATCTTCTAGTGACGTACGCCATCTCATCCTCATCCTCAATCACCCCACTTTGAGATATTTTCAAAGCAATGGACTTCTCCTTCTTTCCTTCCTTCAAAGTCATTCCCTGCTTCTTGTTCATCTCATAGGTCTGAAGATTCTCAATCAGTTCATCTATGGGAAGAGTCGTTAGATCTTTGGCTTCTGTTATGGCATCCACCTTGCTTTCCCAAGATTTAGGAAGCACTTTAAGAATCTTGCGAATTTGCTTGCTGACAGGAATAGGTTCACCCAGGTCTCTTAGCTCATTGGTGATTGAGGTGAATCTTGAGTTCATCTCAAAGATGGTATTTCCTTCCTTCATGCTGAAATTTTTGTACTGAGTGGTGAGCATATCCACCTTAGACTCTTTCACTCGCTGGGTTTCTTCATGGGCTGTTTGAAGACAGTCCCAAATCTCCTTGGCAGTCTCACAAGCGGATATTCTGTTGTATTCATCTGCTCCAATTCCACACACGAGGATCTTCTTTGCCTTGTAGTTCTTCTCGATCTTTTTCATGTCTGCCTCATTGTAGTCCTTTCTGGTTTTGACAACAATAGTGGTAAGCTCTCCATCCTTCACCTCATTTGTAGGAATATATGGTCCATCAAGGATAATGTCCCACAACTCAGAGTCCTCAGCGTTGATCTAATCGTGCATTCGATTATTCCACCATCCATAATATTGGCCATTGAAATGAGGTGGCCTGGTGGAAGATTGTCCTTCCTCCATATTGGGTGGAGTATCTATTTCTTCAGGATCTTTTCTTTTCTTGGTGTTAACCAAACTGTAAAGTCAAGCTCTGATACCACTTGTTGGAATGTATGCGTCCACCTATGTAGATAGGACCAGTCCTCAACACAGTAATAATAAACAGTAAAGTACGAATGCTGAAAGTAAAGATTGACAATCAACTTTATGTGGAAACCTCATTGCTCATGGGAGTAAAACCACGACCTGGCCTGCCAGGACTTTTCAAACTGCTTTCACTAATCTTCTCAAGCAAAAGTAAAAGCACATTTACAAACTGAGATTAGCCTACTAATCCCAACTCTAAGCAATATCTACTATTACTTAGATGAGACAGAGCAGATACAACACTGCCCACTATACTAATCCTAACCGATTAATATAGACTTTTAGAGTAAGAACCTAAGTTACCCTTAACCTAGTTCTTACAATGATTCACACAAGTTTGAAACGTTTCTATCACAAGTGAAACGAATCCTACAATATAAGCACTATTACAAGCAAACAAATGCAGCTGGTACTGAAGGCAAATAGACACGTTTCTATTAGGTCTCTTGTTGTTTTGAAGCTTGAAAGTATCTTTCTTTGAATGAATGAATCAATAATGTTGTTTGTTATTTGATATATACCATGAAGAGTTATTACCCAACATACAAACAACCTCGTCGCTCCTGATTGGTGAAGTACCCTGCAACTTCACCAACTCCCTGACACAGACAACCTTTACAGCTGTACAACACTTTGACAACTGGACGAGTATTCATACTCTGCAGATGACCAGGTCGCTGCACTTGTGAGGAGATCATCAAAACATCTAGGAGCATAAGCATTTATCAGACATTATTCTAGTGGCTCATTTAATTTAATTTGGATTGCCACATAACTTTGACACGTGACATGATTCTAGTGACTCATTTAATTTGATTTGGATTGCCAAAACAGTATATATATATATATATATATATATATATATATTGATTTAGTATCATATATTGTTTTAGTATCATTAAGGCTGATAATTTCGCTGAATTGATATTAAATCAATATATATATATATATATATATATTTATATATAATGTATTGGTATCGTTAAGGTTTCTTGTTAAGAAATACTCATTAGTCAATGATACTACAAGAGTATATATATACTCTTATAGTATCATTGACTAATGAATAATTTTTGAACAAGAAATCTTAATGATAACGTAATATATATATACTCTTATAGTATCATTGACTAATGAGTAATTTCTGAACAAGAAACCTAATGATACCATAACAATATACATATATACTCTTATAGTAACATTGACTAATAAGTAATTTCTGAACAAGAAACATTAATGATACCAATATAGTATATATATACTGATTTAGTATTAGTTAAGTGAAATTATCAACCTTAATGATACAAATACATTATATGATACTGATTTAGTATCAGTTAAGCGAAAATTATCACCCTTAATGAATGGGGGGTATGAACTGTAATTATTTATGAGAGAATGGGTATTTCATGAATTATTTTTTATTTGGGTATGAACTTGTAATTATTTTAAATTTTATGGCCCATTTATGTAATTTTCCCTATTATTTAGTGTTTTTCACCTTTTTTATTTTGATCTAAATTAAACGACAATTTACATAATCGAGAAGCTGTTAGTTTTAGTTTTATGTCCTATGAATATATTAATAGGCATTTTCACTATTTCTTTGAAAGGTATTTGATAATGCACATCAAAACTCTATACATACTTTTTACACTTATAAACTTAGAAAAACGTAAATTTAATTATGAGTAATTAATCAAAATTCTTTTTTTGTTGTTAGGAGTAAGTAATTTATTAAAGGTGTGTCAAAGGCAAAACCATCAAATAATATGAATAGGAAGAAGCATAAACACCAACGATGTAAAATGAATTAGTAAAATAACAAGTAAATTTCATGAGCTTAAATTATATACGATATTATTGTAAAGGATTTTTTACACCGATTTGATGTCATGTTTA